TCCATAATCAGTGTGACTTTGTTTTTTCTCATATTCCTCTAGAATCTACAACTTCGATGACTAAGCTCTTAATTCCTATGGAGATTACAAGTGTCCGAAGTTGCAAGATTTCAAAATGTAAGCTCCTGCTTTATGAACATTGATACTTCATCACTTCAAACATGAGGTTTATTTTTTATAAAGTGGGTCGTCATGATGTAAAACAATAAGATATTACTTTCAAATAAATTTTCAATGAAAGAATTTTTTTATAACAATGATTTTTTTATTTTTAAATTATTGATATTATTTGTGCTTATTTAGACATTATAAAATTTCAATTTCACATTTAGGTAAATTATAGAAATTATAAGAACTACAATCTTTTATATTTCCTTTTTTTATAATTTTCCTTATAAGTAGTGGTTTATATAAAGGTACTCACTATCAACAAATAAGGACATGCATTGGTAAATTAGAAATTCCTTTCTAATAGTTTTGTTCTACATTCTCTCTGTATGCTCATTCTTCTTTATTATAACTCTATCTAACATATCATCATCAGTTTATTTCTCTCTTTATTTCTTCACTTTAATCAACAATTTTCTCTAACCTATCTATATTTTTCACTTTCTCAACTAAATTTCTTCCTTTTCTAGACCATCTACAAAGCAAGTTAATGTAACTACCACTTGTCCTGCATCACAAATTTTCGCAGCTGCTGGATTTTATTTTGTCAACTGCTGGATTTTCTAACTAGAACAGCATGCCAGATACTAAATTTTCATGTTAACCCTACACATGCTATTTGGAAAGAATTATCTGTTTGACTACTTTGTGGGTAAAGTTCATGGTTCTTCTGAGGTTTGCCTCTGCCTGCTATGCGAAAGAATTGGAAGGCAGGTTTACATTAAAATTTTGCCCCCTTTTTTTCTTTCTAGCTTTTTTTCTTTCTTTATATGTGAGGAGAATTTATCCTCATCTATTTCTGTTCTCTTTCTGTGTTAATGATGTTTTTTTAATTAGAAAAAAGCATATGTATTAATGGGTTACAATTGCAACTTTCATAACCAAAATTGTAGATCAATCCATGTACTTACCCATCGTTCATCAAGGACTCTCCTTCAATAATCGTACTTAATTTTTTGCTTGCACCAAGCTCTTTTAATAAAGCAACTACAGCCACAGGATCAGTAGCACTCAGAAGTCCCCCAAGCAATAATGATGTTTTCCAGTCCCACTTATATGGAAAAGTTAGCTGCGAGATCGGCCTTGCAGATTTAGTTATGCTGAAAATTTAGTTGTCTCAGTCTACACATCACAGAATTACATACCTTCAAAGCAGATCCAAGACATAATGTTGAAATGAGAACTCCTGGACCAGCAAGTAGAAGCATCTGTGCCAAACACCTCTAAGTAGAAAATAAGAAAAGCAAATATTCATCAGAAGCTATTTAATAAGATAAGATTGAAAATGTTCAACAATCTTTTCATAGTGCAGACAAAAAATTTGTCTGAAGTTTGACTGTTGCTCATTATAGCCATGATTTCCACAGGCCTTCATCTTAAGTTAATGGCACCATTGACTTTAACTTTAAAAAAAATAAAGGGACCTGCACCAAATTGCAAAGTACAAAAGAGACTAGCCCTCGAATTGAACATTGTTAAGAAGTGTATATTTCATATAATTAAGGTAGAAGGTATGTTAGTAAAATACCCACATATGTAATTAATTATATAATTCTTTTTATTGTCAGAATATGTATAGATAAGATCTTAATACTAAACAAAAACAAAACATTCATTCTTTCACTTGGTATCAAAGTTTAAGACAAAATATTCTAACTCTTTTTTTACAAACCCTAATCAGTTTTCATTGTCGAAATAAGAAAAACACAAGAATTCTAAGCAAGGTCAGCCTTCATAAACAGCCACCACCACCACCACCACTACCGGCCTTCATAGCTGGCCACCAGCAAGCTCAGTCATCTCCAGCCGCTGCCATCTCTCTATTGGGTACACCTATATGTTAGGTGTACTCTCCACACCTGAGCAAACTAAGTCAGGTTGCTGGGAGGGCCTGCTCTCGCACTTCTAAGCCGTAGCATTTATTTTCCCTCTAGGATGTGTACTTTCATCTTACTGGTTATTTTAAAAAACTTCGCTAATTTACTTGGGTTACTAGTGTGATTCTGGCTATTTTGACCACATCTATTGGTGTAACAGGTTCTTCCTTGTGTCAGGATCCATTTTTTTTTGTCAAAATTGTAGCAGTTGTACAAGAAGTTATTAAGAATCGTCTTTCGCCAGGTGTGATTACAGATCCTAGATGCAGAGCTTGCCTAGCATTTCCAATATGACTAATTCCTCTAGTTGGATTGTCATTCTTCCTCGCTGCCAGCTTCAACTGAGCCATAGGTTGGTGACTTGGCTGTGCTATTTGCTACAATGGACTCATCCCCCAGCAACTGCGCACCTACCCATCCATGCGCCAGTCCACTAGTTGTGCACCCAGCCGCACACCTGCAACCTAGTTGCACGCTTACCTACCAGTCATGCGCCTGCCTACCAGCAGTGTGTCCTCCTACCTCGCCTGCTCCAGCTGTGACTTCACAAGAGCCACACTCCCAAGAAGGGGCACCATCAGGATTAACTCTAATATGTTGTTGAGAATGTGCCGCTAGAATTAACCAAGAACCTGAACTGCAAAATATATTTTTCTTCTCATTATGATTTTTTAGGACTAGAACTCAGATAAGATGATTGGACATGTTGAACTCAGGAACGGATTATATTTACTTGGATGCACATGGGCTATCTCTCTCTACCACTACTATAGACTCTACTACAAATCTCTTGGTCATCTTTCTTTTTCTATTTTGAAGTTTATTTTTTTTTTATTTAAAAACTTTGTTGATGAAAATTTATATTGTGTTATATGTGAATTTTAAATATAAGCGTGTAATATTTTTAAGTAGCAATAAAAAAAATATTTTTTTTTTTAATCTATAGTAATATTTAGGGACCTGGCTACACTCCTATACTATATAGGGCTCCATGATTTTTGTCATTCATTGATGATTGCACAAAAATCACGGAACTCTTTTTACTTAAGGAAAAATTTGATGACTAATATAATACCTCAATTTTGCAAAACAATTACAACCCAATTTGGAACCACATAAGAAGATCCTCTACTGATAATGCTAAAAAATATTTAATCATACATTTTCTTCTTTTTTCAGCCTAGAATGAATAATTTATGAATCATCATATGTTTGATGATTCCACACTCCACAACAAAATAAGATAATGGAACAAAAGAATAAACATCTCTTTACTACTATCTGAGTCTTCTTATTCCATAACCATGTACCTAAATAGCATTAGAAGAAAATAGCCCTTATTGCTACATGCACTATCAATCGATTACCCTCTAGTGTCCTTAATTTTAAAAATCCTTTATAAAATAAACCCTTTCCAAATTTTATCCAGAAGTCAGTATCATAAACTATCTAGTTTCTTGGATATTTGGGTGCATCTCATTTGTTCATATCTATACCCATGAGAGAGGGAAACTTGATCTCAGAGGTTTAAAATATATATTGTAGGGTGCTCCTCTTCTCAAAAAGGATACAAGTACCATCATTTGTCTATATAAAAATTTTATGTCTACTAATACTGCTTTTGTTGAGTCAAATCTTATTTTTATGGAGAATCCATGTCGGAAGATAAGGGTACAGATATTTCAGTGGACCTGTTTCCATAATTATCATCCACACTAGTTTTACTGCTACACCACTAGAAGAAAATCTTCACACTCATACTACCCAAGAAACCTTACATTGCTCGAGATTTACTCAAGTATATTCAGTGATGAAGAACCCAAGTCTTGAACTGAGGCGGGGTCGAACATAAGAAACAAGTTTTGGAACTGAGATAAGTGCTGAAACCCCTAGCAACCTGATATTGATGTGTCCACTGCAATCTATTAAATAGCCAAAGAATGCACTAAAAATTCACTGTATTTAATTTCACATATTATCTTTTTTGACAAGTGTTCACAATCCCACAAGAATTTTCTCATGAGTTCTAATACTGATATTATTTCTAACACTGTATTTGAGATATTATACGATAACAAATGAAAAAAAAAATATCATGATTGTTAAAATACAGGCACTAGAAAAGAACTAGACATGGGACATAATGGATTTGTCCAAACGAAAGAAGACAGTAGGATGCAAGTGAATATTCACTATAAAATACAGGGTAAATGGAATAATTGAAAGGAGACTAATTAGGAGATTGATTTACCTATCACACACAAGACATGACATTACTTATGTAGTAAATTTGATAAGTTAATTCATACACAGCCCTAAAGGTATTCATTTATAGGTAGCCTATAGAATACTACACTATCTAAAGGGGTAGGGAAAGGCATAATGTTTAAAAGGAATTGGTTGATCTTTGAAACTTACACTACTGCATATTATGCAGGATCAATAGAGGATAGAAGATCTACTATAGGTTACTGTATCTTTCTTGGGGCAAAATTGGTCATTTGGATGAGTAAAAAGCTAAACATAGTTGTAAAATCAAGCGCAAAGTCAAAATATTACGCAATGGCACAAGGGGCATATGAGTTACTGTAGTTGAAGAGACTCTTGGAAGATTTAAGGGTGAAGTGGGATAACTCAATCATCTTTACTGTGGCAACAAATCGCAAAATAAGAATTGCTCACAATCCTGTACAGCATCATAACACAAAATAATTTGAAGTTGATAGACATTTTATCAAGGAGAAGGTAGACAATGGTTTAATATGTACTCTCTATGTGCTCACCAAGTTACAAATTACAGATATGTATAAAAATCTTGAGTAGTTCAACATTCCAAAATATCATTACCAAGCTAATGATGGATAACATCTATTTCCCAACATGAGGGGGAGTATAAAAGAATGTAGTTTTTGTATAAATAGAACTAAAATAGGTTAAGAATATTAAAGTAAAATACACCCTTTCAAATTAATTTTAACTTCTCTTTTCTTTATCCCTAGAACTTGTATAAATAGAAACATAGTATTCAATGAGAACAACCCAGTTATTCCTGACAATTATGTGTAATTAAAGCAAATAATATATTAGCAAAACACCCACATGTAATTAATTGTATGTTTCCTTTTATTGTTCTCAAGACTATGTATATATATGGCTCTAATACTCAATAATAAATATAACATTCATTCTTCCACAAATATGAATCCCCATTACCTGGAAAAGCGCAACTACATGGAGACAAGAAAGCTATTTGAAAACCACTATCAGTAATCTAAAATGCTCTGATGTGGAAAAAATTGAACTTTCTAATCCTGCTTCATCCTTAAATTCATGTGTGTAGTTTGAACAGTCAATTGACAATTTTCTCCACTTCTAAATTAAGGACTTAATGCGTACAGAATTTGAGATTTTACCATTTTATCTCCCCAGAACAACAAAAAAAGCTACATTCCTTTACTTTTACACAAATCCAGAGGGAGGGGTATCTGTTGTTGATTATACAGAATATACAGAATACTTGCTGCTGAGATTCTATGCAGAATATCCAAAGATTCCTCTTTTTCCTTTATATATACACGTCGTTTATGTTAAATTCTAAATCTGATATTAGCTAATTCTTTATTTTGTAACCATCTATAGTCCGTATGAAGATGCAGCAGATAGAACTATCTCTCTCTCTAATTTTACCATTCTCTCAATGTGGTGTCAGAACTATGTCCACCATTGCTACCCATTTACAAACCAGATTGTTCTGTACTCATGGTCTCATGTTCCTGAAGCCAACTTCTCACAGTTTTGCACCTGCCTGTTTCCTCAGGAGCGGTGCAGGCAACTCCATCTCAGTTTCTCTTTTTCTGGTGCAGCTGCGCTAACTACCGTAACTCAAGAAGCTGAGAGAGTATGCGCATGAGCTAACATTAATCTTCCTTGAAGACATCTTGTTAGTGGCCTATAGTTATGAGCAGAGAGTGTCAATAAGCCATTTGCAGCCAGAAAGAAAGCGACTGTGAGGGCCAAATTATTCAATAAAAAAATAACATTTTATTCTCCCACAAATATTATAAAGTTCGTTATGATTTTGTCCATCAATATGCCTCCTTTGAGGTGGGAGATCTGGTTTTACTGTATTTACAGCCCTATCACCAAATTTCCTTCTGAAATGCAGTTATAAGTTATCTCCTTGCTATAATGGTCCATCCCCAATTCTAGAAAAAAACAGATAACTGGCCCATCATTCGGAGCCACCTAAAATTTCTGAACTTCACCATTTGTTCCATGTTTCTTTTCTAGAAAGTATCATGTAACTCCTACAATCTTACCACATCTGCCATTGGTGGATCATGGAATGCCCATTCTCACTCCACTTCTGCTGTATTTTCACAATCAAGGCCACATCAAGCAAGCACTAATTCACTGAGAAGGGTTGTCTCCTGCTGAAGCCTCTTGGGAACTTGTTGATCATTTAGCTGTAAAATCCCAATTTCGCACTTGAGGACAAGTGCCAAGTTTGATGGAAAGAATTGCTAGTCTTAAGGGGAATTCTTATCCTTACACAAGAGAAGTTGGTCGTTTAACAATTGGTTTGAATTTGTAAGCCTATAGAAGAGCTGCTAAAGAACATTTCATGAAGTTGTACACCGAGGAGATAAAATGGAGACCAAGACTGGAAAATTTACAATTCAGGTCTCTTTCAGAGGGCAGTAGGAAGCTTGTTGAACAGGAATTTAGAGAAGAGGAAATACATACTGCGTTGATGTCGTGTAATGGGGATAAAGCAACAAGGTCTGATGGTTTCAACATGAGATTCCTACAGGAGTTTTAAGAAGTATTAAAGAGTGATATTATTGCTGTCTTTAGGGAGTTTTTTTATTCCAGGTCATTTGTCAAAGCTTTGAATTAATTTTTATTGTTCTAATAGCAAAAACTGAAGGGGCGATGAGTATAAAAGAATTTCGTCCTATTAGTCCTGCGGGGTGTATGTATAAATTGATTTCAAATGTGCTAGCTAGGCAATTGTCAAAGGCATTAGGAAAAGTGATTGGGGAGAGCCAAAACGCTTTTGTTAAAGGTAGACAGATTCTTGATGTTGTGATGGCGGCAAACGAGATAGTAGATGAACTAATAAGTAATAAAAGGGTAGGTGTATTATGTAAACTAGATATGGAGAAGGCTTTTAACAACGTCGACTGAAAGTTTGTGGAATATATGTTGGAAAAATTGGGTTTTGGTGATAGATGGAGAAAATGAATAAAACAACGCATTACAGCTACATCGTTTGCGGTAATGGTTAATGGTGGAGTTTCATCATTCTTCACAGCTTCAAAAGGTTTGAGACAGGGAGACCCACTTTCACCTTTTTTATTTATAGTAGTTATGGAAGCTTTTACCAGATTGTTGGAGAGGGCAAAAGAGTTAAGTATGATTAAAGGGGTAATGGTTGGCAAAGGAAATTCTATGGTTGAGGTGTCTCATCTATTGTTTGTCGATGATGTTATCATATTTTATCAGTCAGGTAGTTGAACATGTTACACCTACGATGCATCCTACTATGAATTCAAATGATATCGGGACTAAAAATAAATATGTTAAAATCGAGCTGGTAAAAATTAGAGATCGAAGAAACGAAAGGCAAATGGCGGAGGTATTGGGATTTAGAGTGGGTGATCTACCTATGAAATACCTTGGACTTCCTTCGGGAGAAAAAGTAAAAGAAACAAGAACATGGGATCTAGTGGTTGAAATAGTTGAGAAGAGGTTGGCAGGGTGGAAGAGAAATTTCCATTCAAATTTACCAATTTATTACATGTCAGTTTTCACTATGCCAATCAAGATTGCAAAGAAGTTGAAAATGATTTCACGCAGATTTTTATGGGGTGATGAGGTGGACAAAAGAAATTATCATTTAGTTAGGTGGAATAAGGTGAAAAAACCATACAATAAAGGTGGTTTGGGGCTAAGATCAATGGTGAAAATGAATAAAGCTTTGTTAGGGAAGTGGTTGTGGAGAAAGGGAAGGGAAGGAAATAGATTATGGAGTAAGGTGGTAGAGGCACGGTGGGGTAAAAAGAGAAGTGGGATTGGCGGGAGACAGGTGGGAGGAAACAATAGCAGAAGTCTGTGGAAGAACATTCTAGTAGGCTGCCAGGAATTTACGGTATGCACAAAATGATGTGTAGGAAATGGTGAAAAAATAAGTTTTTGCGAAGATGAATGGGTTGGTAACTTCAAATTAAAAGACAAATTCCCAAGAATATATGAAATTGCACAAAAAAGGGACATGAAAGTCAAGGAGGCGTATTTTGGTGCAGGGGAATACAAATTTCTGGGATGTGCAGGTTAAAAGAAATTTGAATAATTGGGAAATTAATGAGTTTAAACAATTAATCATTACAGTCTCTCAAGTAAAAATGGGTCAGCAAGATGATTTTAAACAGTGGATGCCAGAAAAAAAGTGGGGTATTCTCTGTAAAATCGTTTTACAAACAGCTTTTAGGAGAATCAAGGATCCAGGGGACCAATTTTCCGCATAGGCAAATATGAAAGACAAAAGTACCACCAAGAATGGCTTTTTTCACATGGGAAGCTTGTAAAGAAAGTGTATTAACCACTGATATGTTGATAAGGGGGCGCAGATGTATGGTTAACCACTATTTCATGTGCAAAGCTAATAAGGAATCATGTAATTATTTGTTGTTGTGGTGCCCGCTGACTTACCATTTATGGACAATGATCTATGGTCTTTTGGGAATAAAATGGGCAATAGCGGGTTCCGTGAAAACTGAAATATGGCCATGGACTGGTTTGTGCAAAAAAAGAAATAACTTTATGCTTATTCCATTATTGGTTTTATTGGTGGGTATGGAAGAAAAGAAATTCAAGAGCTTTCGAGGGAAATGAGAAAGATTTCAATTGTATAAGGATAGATGCATTCATACTTTTAGTTTTCTATTGTTAGGTCATGATATTTTTTATTTAGACAAAATTAGAATGGTGTTAGATCATTTAATAGAGATGTAAAGGCAGTGTAAATGTGTGGTACCCACTTGGTACCAATTTTATGATACAACTTTTATTTTAAAAAAAAAAGCCTATAAAAGAGCTGATATGCTCTGAATAATCAAGTTATGCTGAAAATGTGTCAAAAAGTTTCTTAAATGTTTTAACTTAAGGAGATCTTTGACTTCTCTCTTCACAAGCTCATTCTATTAATAAAAATCCCATAAGAAGATCCAAGGTAGGGACCATAACAATATACCAAAAGATGCAGGGGAAAATGCAGGTGCATGGGAACCGGGAAAGGAGAAAGATCCCAAAAATTCTACTGAAACTCAGTCATGTACACCAAACAGGAGCGATTAGAACACAGTAGAGAAAGAAAACCTTGATCTGGTGCACTTCCATTGAAAATGAACTCTCAAATAAAAGAGCAGGAAGAAAAACGGCCAATAGAAGGTCAGGATCAATATCTGCCCCTGCAACAAAACATTTATACTTTAGTTAGAGCTGATTATTTACTATTGAGAAACAACTCCTTTTGAATAATAAACTATCTCAAAACTTAGTTGTCACTGTCCAACCTTGTTTACTCTTGTGAAGTTGATACTGGGGAAAAGTCAGGAGAAAGAAAATATAACTTACAAAGCCGAATGCCATCACCAATCTTTCCCAATTTGTGACTTGTACCATATTCTGCACATAAATCTTTCAATTAGATTTATAAGATTTATAATGAATTATATTATCATTCACAGTAAACTAAAATAATCTTGACTCCAGGTATAAAGCTGAACAAACATCAAGCAGTCTTTTTACGTGGTAAAAACTGAAAAATCTAGCTAATTAAACAGACAAATGAGTGAAAAAGAAAAGGAAGAATTTTCAGACTCTGCATGAAAAAAAGATGGGCATAAAACTAAAATTTGGTCATTGTTAAAACTAAATTTTGGTAATTGCTTAACCAAAATTACGCCATTGGCTAAAGACACACCAGTATACAGTTCCTCAAAGTAAATAGAAAAAGTTGTCCTGCATATTGACTCTGTGCAAATGAAAATAACCTTGTTCAAATTATTATGGGTCATGAGTTATTGGACGAGTCCTTGCCAGTTCTTTAAAAATTAGAATCACGTCTCATATGGCAAAAAAAATCTAAAAATAAGTTAATACGAGTTTCCTTGTCAATGACAAATTAAGGGAAAGTAAACGCAAAAATGCTGACATTGTAAGGAGAAACTCGCATCCTTCTAAAATAAAAAAGGTTTCTGGGGTTGAGACAGTTGCAGTTTTGTAAATGTCAGGCCCAAAACATTGTCATAGGAAACAATTAACAGCCAGGAATTTATTTTGTTTCAGACTGTTACTTCTGTTTTTTGTTTTTGTTTTTTATGAATATGCACTATTACGAAGATGCTGAGGAAAATTAACTAGACTGCCAGCTGTTCTACGGTACGAATTGTTATTGACCACTGTACCCAATGATCGGGTGCAATACAAATAATGCATCGGATTGACCAATGAGCAATAGCATCAATTTCAGATATTCCTTCTTCTCCCTTTTCTCTAAGCTCCTATTCTCCCTCTATCTATATAAATATCTATTTCTTTCCCTCTATATCCTATTCTTCTTCCTGTCCTACCTTTACATGACCTCATAAACCATAATGAGTCAAAATCTTGACAATCTAATATCAAAGTGAAACATTCTAGGTGGCCCAATATCCTCCATTGCTGAGTTGGCCAAGAACAAAGGAAAAGCTGCAATGACAATGCACAGAGAGTGAACCAAGTTGAAGATGGTGTCAGAGGACTATAGGTCAAAGCCTACAAGATTTTATGATTGAATTATATGAGAACATCGATCCTAAGCTAGAAGATACGCTATACGCTAGACACCAAATTGACAGAAAACAACAACCACCTGCAAATGATGCTGGCAGAGACAATGTGATCAATTCTCACAGTAGCTAGGCCAAGAATCCCCCAAGAAGCCAGGTACAATCCTCTAACATCTGTCCCCTTCCAAGGTAATATTTTCAACACCCGAAATAGATACTCCTTTGTTTGAGGGTATTAACCCAAGATCGAGGGTGAGAAGATGTAATTAAGTATTTCCAAGTTTATGGAGTTCCAAACGACCAAAAAGTTGAAATAGTCACCCTCTTCTTGGGAGAGAAAACGAATACATAGTATAAAAGGGTAGCAACCACAAAGAAGAAGAATGGATTAGGCAACATGCTGATGATGATATTTCTCTAGCCACAGTACAAGGCAAAACAACTATTGATGTCCGAAGCTGTGGAGGAAAGGAAGGATGAAAGTACTGAACAGGGAGGGCAGAAGAGACAGAAAAGGATAAAAGACATTGGAGAACCTCCTTGCACACCGTGACAGGGCAAGAAAGTGGCAACACAATCAAATTTTTTGCAAACAATAGATTCCCAGTTAGTGCCGATCTTGATCAATAATGGAGACACCCATACTTCATAGATGTCAAGGTGACTTCAAGGAGCAATGCCCAACTTGTCAAGTCACGATCTTTGAAGGTTTTGGGGGCAAATCACCAAAAATTGACAAGCTAACTCAATACTTTAGAGTTATTGACTACTATATTTTATTATTTAATTATTTTATTAGTTTATTAATTAATTATTTATAACGATGTAATTAGAATTTTATTATAATACTAATCTCATGCAAGTATAATTTTAGTAAAATAGTAATTTTCTTATTAATAAGTTAAAAATTTTATAAATACCATCAGATCTAGCAACCTAAAGGATGAAAAATAAAATTATTAATTTTTCTCCAAAAATCAATATGGTGTCAAAGCCAAAAAATTATTTTAGGGTTTTAATTTCATGATTTTCTTCAAAACTTAAAATAACACCATAAACTGAGTTGGTACCCACTTATCTAGATTTACTCTCATCACCACCCTAGAAAGTTATATGAGAGAGAGAGAGAGAGAGCAAGAAATAGCTCAGATCGCAGCAGTGAGCGGCGGTTGGTAAAAGAGGACACAGCAGAGCAGATTTGCTAAGTGAAGCTTGGATCACGGCAACGGAAGCTTCTTGCACAGCGGAAGAAGGAGATCAGCGCATGGTGATCAGATATAGGTGAAGAAGAGCTCTCTACACAGCGCGCAGCAGAGGCAAACAAATCTGTCCGAAGAAGAAGCCAAGTCAATACGTGTAGTCCATG